GCAAAGCCCAAGAGAAGATATAAACAATAGAATACATGTTCTTGCACAGGAACAGGAAGTTCAAGTGCAAAGCCCAAGAGAAGGTATAAACAGGGATGGGATTCTACCGGTTCGGACCAGTTCTATAGAACCAGTTGTTACTATTCTGCACAGTTCTGAGAACTGGCAAATTGTGCCCCTGGCCGTCCCCACCCGTCCCCACCAAGGCAGTCCTTATCTTACATGTGCAACATGGCACGCATGCCCGGCTTCCCTGACTGCATTCTCACTGCCCAATCACCCCTTAAGGTATTTCTTTTTCTTTTTTTTTCCTCCCGATGATCAGCTGTTCCGATGATCAGCTGTGCTGGGATCCCCCTCGCGGTCTTACTGCTTCACCCAGGAGGCAAAAAGGGGCACAGGAGGGGTTGCTGCAAAAGAAAGAAGAAGCCATGCCCACCCAATCACATGGCCAGGCCCGCCTAGCCACGCCCGCCTAGCCACGCCCACAGAACCAGTAGCGAAAATATTTGCATCCCACCCCTGGGTATAAAAGCCCCTCACTCTCCAGGTGGTCAGCTACCCAGAACCCCTGTGGTTCTGCTTCATCAATAAATGCCTTTCTCCTGGCTTGGACCTGGACCTGAATATTTCTTCCAACCATCCCCTTGTGGAGAGGACACATCAGAGAAAGTCGTTTCGGAACGAAAGACCTTTAAGGTAGAAGACATCATGGGGCAGAGCCCCTCATCCTTGGCAAGCCCATCCTTGACCCACCCCTCCATCTTCTACCCAGGAGAAGCGGCAACAAGGAGTACCTCGACTGCGACGGAAGCAATCCGACTCAGCCACCCCTCAACTTTAGGGATGAGTTTCTGCAAGGGGGTTTTCCAGTTGGTCTTCTCTGCAGCCTTGCCGATTTGTTGAAGCACCCGAACCCGTAGCTTCCACAGCTGTTTATCGAGGACGGTCACAGCTTTCTGGATGTCCAAAGCTGGCAAAGGCTTCCTGGAGATGGAGCAAGAGGAAGAAGACTCAGGGAAGATGGTGGCTGAGGAGATCGAGGTACTATGGATTCCAACCGTAGAACTAGGTAGATACAAGGAGATACATGCTTTGCCAATCTTGAGACTGTTGAAGAAGATGAGTGGTGTGGTGGCCTAGAGGCGGAGCTCTCGCCTCACAATCAGGAGGCTGTGAGTTCGATCCTAGGTAGAGGCAGATATTTCTCTGGGCACAATGAGAATATATCTGCTGGGGGAAAAAAAAACTCTACAATGGCAACAGGAAGGGCATCCAGCCAGTAATCGCTCAGCTCCATTCAGTTGCCCTGACTCCACCCCTCAAGGGATTATGGGGTCATTAAAAGAGGATGATTAAGAAGATATTCTCCACCAGCCCCTTTTTCACCAAGGGATCATCTCTTCCCACTTCCACTTCTTTGCTTGACTCTTCTCTGTGAGTCAAATGCGCATGAAGCCTAGGTTAGTTCTAGGCCAAGAAATGTGCCTGCATTGTTGCTAGTCACTGATTTCTCCAAATTTCTTCCAAAAGAGAAGAAAACTTTCAGAGGTGGGATGTATTATTCTCTAACATATTTAGTCATTCTTTAGGAGAAGGTTAAAGAAATGTCCCCTAATATTTTTTTTATGGAAGGGATAATAAAGAATCAATAGGCAGTTCCAAACAGTAATTAAAACCTGAGGCCACGCCTAAAAACTGGATTAATGTGCTAATTCAAATACTTAAAAAAAAAAGCAATTGGTTTTTGTATACCAACTTGCTGAAGATATTTTTATATAGATATATAGTATCTTCCTCTATGCAAGTCATGGTTAGCTCTCTCAGGATTTGTTGAATTAACCATACCTGATTGGATTAAAGCAACATGCCAAACCATAAATGATGGTTTATAAATCACAACCCAGGCTGTATGCTAAGCCAAGCCAAAGCTTTGTGCTACTGTGTAAATATATTCACAGACTAAATTCTAGAAGATGCTTGGGGTTGTTAGAGAAGACTTTTGGGAAACCTGAGTTTGCTTCTAAGCAAGACACCTGATTAGAAGAAAAAACTAGGTTAGTTATTGCGGACATTGACTTGAAACCTTCACACTACCACCTGAAAAGAAATGGATACTGCAAAACTCATTAAGATAGTTTCACTGATTTTTGTTCTTCTAGTAGAGCAGGGGTCTTCAAACTTGACAAAATCAGTTTCCACTTGGTTCTGTCTTCCTCAGAAGCCACATTCCTATTAGAGTATCCCATTGAAAGCTTACTTGCAGTCTTCGACCAACTCTTTCTGAAGCTTCTTCCAAGCCACAGCCACCAATGGGTCATGGGGCTGGAGGATGGTTTTAAGAGTATCCAGATTCTTTTTCTGTTGGGGGAAGAAGCACATGTCCATTCTTGTCATCCGTGTCTCTTCAAGTGAAGTGACCTCTGGGGTCAAAAACGCAGAAAATTTCCCGAACATCTGCCTGCAAAATGGCAGTTACCACATGGCTGAAGCACAGCACAAGTTTTGAAAAGGGGGAGGCTCTGCCAACTAACCTAGATTTTTTTTTTTTAATCACCATCCTCATCCTGTGAACATGCCTGGAATCAAAGAAGAACTGGTAGAATTTCTGTAAGAAGCAGAATGCTACAGAAAGGACCTTTGTGGCTCTAAGGTCAATCTTGTAATTGATGGGTTAAAAATCACCAGTCATAGTCTATGGCAAAGGTCTTCAAACTTGGCAACGTTAAGACTTGTGGACTTCAACTCCCAGAATTCCTGAGCTAATATAACTGAAGGAGGAATACTGGGAGTTGAAGTCCAACAAGTCTCAAAACTGTCAAGTTTGAAGACCCCTGATCTTTGCACCCAGCTGAGCTTTTTATTACCCAACAGCTAGATGAATTCACCCAACATATACTGAAAACATGAAAGCATTTTTCTGTGTGGGGTAGGACCAAGGGTATTTTTGGTATCTGAGAATCTGGTGGTATTCAGAGGACACGGTGACACTCTGCTGTGAGTCACCTGGAGGGAGCCATTGGTTGGCACCTATGTTCTCTACCTGTTCTCAATGTTTCAAGGGTGAGAGGAAGGGAGGTCATAGAACAAGGGTCTTCAACCTTGGCAAGTTTAAAACTTGTGGACTTCAACTCCCAGAATTCCTGAGCTAACATGACTGGAGGAGGAATTCTGGGAGTTGAAGTCCACAAGTCTTAAAGCTGCCAAGTTTGAAGACCCCCTGGTCTACTGCTTGGTCTAAGTGAGCCTCAAGTCCTGTTGACCTGATACATTCAGTCTAATGAAGAGAAGGATTAGGGATGACATAATAGCAGTTTTCCAATATTTGAGAAGCTGTCACAGAGAAGAGGGGATCAACCTATTCTCCAAAGCACCTGAGTGCAGGACAAGGAGTAACAGGCAGAAAGTTATCAAGGAGAGATCTGACCCAGAATTAAGGAGAAATTTCCTGACAGTGAGAACAATTAATTAGTGGAATGGCTTGGAATGGGTGCTCCATCACTGGAGGTTTTCAAGAAGAGACTGAACAACCATTTGTCGGGGATGGTATAGGGTCTGCTGTTTGGGCAGAAGGTTGGACTAGAAGACCTCCGAGGTCCCTTCCAACTCTGCCGTTCTGTATATATATTTAAAGCTGTCAATTTGGAAGACACCAGTATAGAAAATGCATTCCTCTCCCATCAACCACCCTTCATTGCACTTTGCTTATGTGAGTTTGGAATAATGACTCTTTCCCTTCCTCTTGAAGCTTACCAGCCTCTCGTGAATGAACTGGAGGGTGTTTGTGCAGGCAACGCGGTAGCTAACGTCCTCCCAGAAGGAAGTGATGGTCACCATGGGTTTAGTGTCATACCACGGTAGGTAATAGTAGAAGTTACCTGCAACGGAAGCAATGAGTCACTGGTCCTTATTTATTACGGGAGTGTCAGGCTTGTCCCAACACAACTCCTTAGGGCAGGGGTCAGCAACCTGTGGCTCTAGAGCCACAAGTGGCTCTTTCCTTCCTCTGCTGTGGCTCCCTGTTGCTGGTCAGCTCCATAATTGATAGTGCCTTTGGTTAGTACAGGTAGAGGAAAAAGGATGCCGTGCTAGGAGGAGACTTTATGGTGGGGGAACTGGACTTCCAGTCCACAGAGGAAAAAGGATGCT